TAAAGAGTCACACGTTATTGATCTGCGCTTAAAGTGGCGTATTGAACAAGCATGAGCTAAAGAACACGTGTTTATGCAAAATAACATTTGTGTGTACTTACGTTTGTGCTTATCAGAAAAATGCTGAATACTCTCCAAGTCACTCTCTGTCTTAGAGTGCAGCTGTTTTTAATTAAAATAAATCAATAATAAATCAATAAAAATCAATAAATTATAATCATAAATAATACATGAATAATAAAAATGAATAAAAATAAGAAATAAATAATGTATGATAAAAACATGATAATACATCATTAATATATACATAATAATAATAATAAATAATTAAAATTCACTGACAAATGTAGTGAAAAATAGCATATTAATTAATCAATTATAATAAATCTAAATATTGATGAATCTCAATAAAACACACTAAATGTCAGAGTAGAAAGCTAAATAAAAAAACCTTGTATTAAAGTCTCCAGCTGTCTTATAAATGAAAATGGAAGATTGTGTCTCCAGGCGGAGGGTCCTTCTTCACCAGGACCTCCATGTCTCCTCTGGTCTGTGAGATGGAGCTGCCGGACCTCCAGAGCTCTCTGGACCTGTACGACGACGACGACAACAAGTCCTGAGGGTTCCTGAAGGTTCCCGAGGGTACTGATCACATGGAAGAACTTCAAACAGCATTAAACCTTCAGCCTGGATCCAGGTCTCAGTTCAGACCCTTGTGACTTTGTTTTACCCAGAAGGAGAACCAGAGCTGGATCCTTTGATCCAGAGAACTGTGGACCAGGAGCCAGAACCTAAACCCTGTTCCTTAAAACGTTCCGGGAAAAGTTCTTGAATCCCTAAAAGTGTTCTTGTGTTCCTGGAAAAGAGCTCCTGAAACAGGCCCTGAATTCCTAACAAGGTTCCTCTCAAAGGTTCCTGAGCACCTAAAAAACGTATAACAAGTAAACGGACTGCCGATTAATAAATACAAATATCAAACTAATAAATTAAAACATTAACAAATTCAAACATGAATAAAAAATAAATATTTAGTTAAGTTAAAATAAAAGTCAATTTCAAAAGTTAGATTTATTTCTGTGGTTTCTGAAACACCACAGGAATACACTTATATAACAATAGTGTAGTGCTAAGTCAAATTATATAATAGTCAGTGTTTTTCCCGTGTTATAATACAGGTAATTCATTTTAAAAAGCCCTAAAGGTGGCATTTTGGAAATCTGAGCTTCTTCACTTCTCATCAGCTTCCTCCTCCTGCTGATCTAAATATAAGAGTGGCGCCATCTGGTGGTGAAAACACGGAACTGCAGTCACTTCAGACAGAGGGCAGAACAGAAATCCACACAGTCAGACTTCCTGTAGGTCAACTTGTCTATTTAATATATAAAATACGGTAAAACATACGCAAAAAGGGGGGGCGGGTAAGAGGGGACCAATGGATACTTTGGTACAATAACAAACACTTTTTTTTGTAAAAGCAGTATAGAATTTGTAATAACATATCAGTGCATACTTTATTTATGAAAATATACACAAGTTGTATATCATTCTCCAAAAAAAACAACAAAAAAAGTTTCTTTACAACGAAAAAGCAGACTAGCCGAACACAATATATTAGCTATAATTTATTTTAAACTTTTTTCTTCCATTTTTTTTTTCCTGTGTGATGTATATTTGTGTGGATATTACATGTGTAGTTCCTATAACATGATTCACTCTTCGCCCATGCATTGACATCATTGTGTCTGGTCAGAAATAAGTTAGACGTGTGTGTGCGTGTGTGTGTGTGTGTCCCATTAGCGTGTGTGTGTGTGTGTGTTTGTACATTGGACTCAGAGTCGCAGCATTGAAGCGTTTCGCCACACGTGTACTAGTATCACTACGCTTGTGTTCATAGAAATCGTGCAACATTAGTAACACCTTTTTTGAAGAAGAAAAGAAAACCCCAAAAAAAACAAAAAATATATTTATAGAATATTTTTATATAATAAAATAAAATCCAAAAAATGCCTATAACCTACACAAAAAAAAAAAAATCCATACCATCATGACAGCTGCCATCCGTGAGAGCTGTGGCCGTGATGATGAATATAATAATATCACTTTTCAGAGAACAATTAAAAACAGACTGTCACCAGCACAGATTAACACTGGAAAGTGAGACTTCTAAACATCATTATACAGGAGCTTTAATTCAGGGGGGGGGGGGGGGGGGTGCAGGTTTTTAAAACTATTTCTCCGCACGATTGTCTTTCTGTTTTTGCAAAAACCCGCTCCATCACCGACAAACAAACAAAGGCGGCCATCTTGTTTTTTTGTTTTGCTTTGTTCGAAGCTCAGGGTACAACAGTCTTAACAGTCAACGTGTGTGTGTGTGTGTGTGTGTGTGTGTGTGTGTGTGTGTGTGTGTGTGTGTGTGTGTGTGTGTGTGAGGATGATGGGAGTAGTGTGTGAGGAGGACGGATATGACGCCTGCTGTCTGGACGGAGTAAGCGGAGAGGTATAGGGCCGCACAATTGATCAACATTTTATGGATTTGCATTATGTGGTGCGATGTCCAAGCTAAATATTTAGTAGTATATAAGAAATATCTGACTTAAGTATTTTTAGAAAGGTCTTGGTATTCTGGAGACCGAATCAAATATGGTGTTTGGTTCAGATCCTCTTTAAAAAGTCAAAATATTCTTTTGTGTTTTTAGTTTTTTTAAGTAAAAAAAGGCAAACATTTAGAATATTTTGACTTAAGTGTAGAACAGAGTGAAACAAAGTTTAAAAAAGAGTTTATTTCAAAGGTTATTTCCAATCAAAACTGACCCGGTGATGCCTTTATAAATTATAAATATATTTTTAAATATTTAGTACATTTAATTGTGTCCCCTACCCTTTGCCTTTCATCCCCTCCGTTTTAAAACTCTGTCTCTGCAATAAAGGCACTGGTTGCCCAACAAAAATATTTTAAAAGATAATAAAAACATTTGAATGATGTTTCAAATATGATCCGTAATGTTTTGAAATTGTGCAGCCCAAGTAGTGTGTTTAAAAGTGTGTGTCAGTGTGTGTGTGTGTGAGATTTAAAAACCAACTGAGTGAGTGACGGGGCGGAGGGGACGTGTCGAAGGTTGAAAAGTGTGTGTTGGATTTGGGAGGCAGTCATTAAAAGATCTGGTTCTGTGACCCTCGGCTTAACGAGACCCCGACCCTGCGTCCGAAGCTTCTAACGAGCAAAGCGACGGAGGGTGAAAGAGACAAAATAATTCTTCCCACTAAACCTAAAAATCGCCCCCTTACAAAAATGACATCCTTCACATTTTCTTTTACCTTCATAGTCGTAAATATAAAAGTACAGCCAACCAGTGACACACGAAGGAAAGATAATACATGGCTTATACCGAGAGGAAAGGTCAGGGGGGGTAAAAAAAGCTCAATACTCTCTGTGTGTTCGCTCTGATATGTCCGTGACAGAAAATACTTAGCATTATTATACTGACACTGCAAATACTCAACACTTTGATATGCCAAAAGTACTTATAATAAGTAGAGATTATATCCGCAAACATTTTTAAAAAAGTGGAAAGCTTCTTGGGGGGGAAGTGAGACCATCATGGGACACAGGACTGATGGAAATGTGACTGAGAAGCTAGAACTGGGAAAACCAATGATATTTCCAAATTATGGAATTTCTTCATTGGTTTATTATTAATTAATATTTAGAAATCTGTATCATGAACGTTTTTTTAGGTTTACAATTGGTGGATGTACTCTTTTTTGGAGAAAAACATAATAAAATGATTATCAAATTTGCAAATGAATCATATTTAATAAATATATAAATTAAAAAAATCTTATCAGAAGTTATACTTTTGATATTGTATTTAATTTAAAAATAATTTCATATTTTTAAATAATTATTACCTCGTGGAAATATTTTATTTACTAATTTCCCTTTCCTTAATATTGTCTTCTTTTAACTCATATTAAAGGTGGTCCAAACTGCAGAATGCTAATGGGAGCTCTGGTTGATAATAAATACATTAACTTGGAGAATTTAATAAATAGTGCAAAGATTGATTTGTATCTGCTGAATGTCAGATTTTGAAAAGCAGGTGTATCTGTTTAAACCGGCGGTGAGTGTGTGTGTATGTGTGTGTACAGAATGTGTGTGTGTCCATGGGTCAGGGTGGGGTTCAGGTAAAGTGCGCTCCATCAGTGACGGAGTCCTAACCGTTCTCTCTCTAAAACAGTCCGAGTCACCGCGGCTACGTTTTCCCTTTCTACAGCTCCCTCTTTAGGCTCGTCCACATATTACACTTTATATACACGCATAAATATAAATTAAAAAAGAGACCGATCCGCTGAGAATCAACGCGTTTGCTATTTTTTTTCCTGTTAAGGGATATCCTGCCGATATATAGTTTGTATATACAATCCCTGTCGTCTATTGTCCCGCCCCCGACGCAGAGCTGCCCGCCTGTTTAAATATATACTTGTATCATATGATCTATACCTTCAAAAACACCCTATCCCTGTCACACAAAAGCCACAAAGGTTACAGATTGCTTATATACACGGTACCTCGCCAATCGCCCCCTTTGAACATCAGCTATCTATTCAAAACACAAAAATAAATTCAGCTGTGTGCATCGCAGGTGTGTGCTCCAGGATGAAATTGAGAATGAACATTTTGCCCCACATCACTTTGTTAAAAAACGAGGTAACAAACCATACACACACACACACACACACACACACCACACACACACACACACACACACACACACACACACACACACCAAACACACACCAACACACACAAACACACACACACCTTTCTCAGCATCTGCAGTTGACAAGGTGAGGGCGAAGCTGGGATTCTGCGTCATGTGTTGTTGAGCCGGTGCAGCTCGTCCCTGATTCAAAGAAAAGTATTTTATCTCGTCCCTGGTTTTTACAGCTAGTCTGCATGGTTGGGATTAAATATAGGACCCAGGAGGGGGAAAGGGGGGGGGGGGGGTCATCAGTCTCGTGGCTGGGGAAAGAGTTTCTCTTTTAGTGTCTTCATATTCCAAAGTCAGTCAAATCCAAACGCTAAAGGTCAACAGTCTAGGACAACAAAAAGAAAAACTCCACGCTTTAAAAACAGCAAAAAACGGCCCGAGAATCTACAGCGATAACAATGCAACCGTGGTGACGACTCACTCGGTGGCACTGACTCAACGCAGTGCATTACAGACAGAATATCCAAACGCAGGGCATGCTGGGAAACCAGCAGTTGTCAACATGTCGGGTGAAACAGTCAAAGTGGCCAAATTTAGGTTTGTGGCCTGATTTAAAAACTTCTATTCAAATGTATCTGAATAATGTTTAGACAAATATTCCCTGGTTTGGTGGTTCTACCCGTCGGGGCTTGTGTGTGTGAGTGAAAACACATCAGAGTTCAAATGTGTACGCACATTGCCATACAAATGTGTTGACGGTGTCAGCATGCTGTGTGAGGTCAGCGTTTCCCGTGTAGGTTACTGGGTCGATGTATAAACGGTGTATAAATATATGTGTGTGTGTTTGTGTGTGCACGACGAAGGGAATTGGGGGCATCAGGGCTGGTGGGGGGCATGTACACAAGCCACAAGTACACATCTCCATCTCAATCCTCCATCTCCATCTGTCCGTCCGTCCCTCTGCGGATTCATGTGACCCAGGTGTCCAGTCTCATCCTCTTCACGTTGGTCCCGTCCTGCTCCTGGGGTTCAGCCGATGAGGGCCTCAGGAGGACCATGGTGGGTTGTTGTTGCCCCCCGACGCCGCCCTGGTGGAGGAAATCTGTCGGAGCGCCTCCTCTTCCCTGGTTCCCGTCGTCCCGATCGCTGCCATCGTACGAACTGCCGTTGCTGCTGAGGCTGTCGACTGGCGAGCGTCCCTGACCTCCGACCTCCAGACGAAGGGTACCCGGGTACGCCACCGAAACTAGACCCTGTCCCTGGAGCTGAAGCTGGCCGACTCCTCCTCCCATTCCTCCTCCTCCTCCTCCTCCTCCGCAGGTGGAGCTGGGGGTGCTTCGGTCACGGTTCGGAGACACGGGTTCGGACTTGATGTTGATGTTGGGGTTGGTGTTGACGGTCAGTGCGCCGCCTTGAGAGAGTTGACCCATCGGCCTGGAGAACAGAAAGATGGAAGGAGAGAAAACAGAAACAGTGAGATATGACGATAAGATAAGATAAGGTAAGATGGACCTTTGTTAATCTCCATGGGGAAATTCAGTAGTTTAACAGCAACAGTGTAAGAATGAAAAACAGGACAGCACAGATTAGAGATTAATACAATTAAAGATAATATATGATGACAGTACCAAGAACATAAACACTGTCTTCAAACAGAACATGAGAGTGGACCTCCATTAGATCACAGTTTGCTGGGATGAAACCAAAATGAATGCATCACAATTTTTCAGGATATTGAAGCCACTTTCAAAGACAAGGACCTGAGACACTTTGCAGCAATGCGTATGAAGGCTTCAGCACACGGAGGACAAGGACACACCAAACAAAAGGACTACATTGGAGGCCACATTTAGAAGCACAGTCTAGAAGCCATGCAGCCCAAACAGTTCGGGTCCGCTCACGTTCCCGTTGCATGATTAAAAGTTACGGGATCATGGGTATTTTCAACCTGACAGGTGAGACGTTCCTGAATCATTCCTTGTAAGAGTACAAATGTTACCTTCTGATATGAATACCACAACACACACAGAAACTGAAGCATCTACAGGGTAAAAAACAACAGCTATACTGGAAGATGATAAAACTAAAATAAATGCTGCTGCTCAAAACGAGGCTATTTAGAAGTCAAAAGGAGAACAAAAAGTATATCACTGTTTGTTAAAAACTTGGAACAGTCTAATCAGTATCAGCTTGAACACCTGATTATAATAATGAACACATGAGAGTTAGGAAATCCCCTGCTTTTATCTCGAAGATTGGAACCATATTCTGAGGCAAAATGGATTTGAGAATAATAAAATACGACTTCTTCTGCTGCCTGCTTTCCAGGAACCATCTGTTGGATTAGGTCCATGTTCTGCCTTTTGGCTTCATTCAAATCAAAAACAGCACTACGCCTAAAAACACTGCCTGCGTGTGACTTCACATACTGATCAGACTACTAGATATGACACAGGAAGGTCAGTTTGAGTAAGTTCAAGACATTCAAGTGAACTAGAATTACCGCCTCCTGGTTGTTGGCCTCCACCAACAAGTTTACATCCATGTCTGTCCAAAGTATCATCATGTTATCCTATTAGACAGAGTTAACATTGCCATGATCATCTGAGATTAGTTATTGAGTTCTGGCTGAAAGACTTTTCTGTTTGCAAGAAACTTTTAGGGAATTCGTTCAAGACTCCCGGAGATATCACATTCACACAAAATGGGACAGTTGTAACTACTCGCTGGTGCAAAAGCATTTAAGAGCATCGAATAAAAACGTGTTTATACGACTGATAGGAACACTGTGATGTTGAGTCTCAGAGGCTCAGAAGTCTTCTATCAGGATTGTGTGTTTCCACGTTTTTTGATTGGACAACGCAGTGCATTTCTGAAAGACATCGAATAGGGTTTTGGTAATAGTGTAGCTATTCTGCAGTATCACTGTGCGTCTGCTTCAGGACCTTCAGTGCAACAACACGTTGGACTCATTGAAATGAATGAGTGGGCAGCTATGTGACATGCAGTGTTGCTGTTTGTCTGACAGAGACTTGTTCTCTTGTTCAGCACCATCAGGGAGTTTGGAGGGTTCTAGGTTTCTGGGTCTATTTTGTAAGAGAATGTTAATCGGTCAAATCCTCAAAGCCTGTTACTACTAGGTTTAGGTAATGGCAATCTATACTTTGAAGGTGTATGTACTTTACACCTTCAAAAGGTGTTGACCGGAATATCCCAGAACCAAGTAGTATCCAAACTTCTCCAGTCAAACGATAGTTGCTTCTGATCGTCCGTAGTCAGTTTAAGAAACAGATGACTATGTGGGGGGTTTTGCTACTAAGAAATCTTAGTATTATTTCTTTGTAATAATGTGATTTGTCACTAGCCCACTAACGAAGCAGCAACAAAGCATCTTCCTTACACATAGAGGGTATCAAAGGAAGTACTATCGGTATGATTTTAAGGGGATTGCCAATAGAGTGGTGCAGTGATGCAGTATTATTGTAGGCCATATTTTATGTGAAAACGTGAACATCTCCACAGTTTGTGTTAACCATAGACTCTATATTTCAGGCATCTTACAAAAAATGCATTAAAAATGACATTGACTTCAAGACAAGGGAACTGAAAGTGGTAACATTATAACTCATTTCCTGGTTTTAGGGTTAGGGTTCAACTGGATCAGTCTGCTAACGATAATCAATCTGGCATTTTGAACCAGTGTTCCTGCACGTATCAATGGCACTTTTATAGTTTTTAGCCATTTAGCCGCTCTAGATGATTTCTGTGCACGTTCTTCAAGATGTTTGTGATGTTTAAGATGAGTCCAGACCCACAAATCTTACGTCTGAGTCTGTGCTTCTACCTTCTCTCTCTGATCAGCCCCCCCCACCCTCACCCTCTCTGAGTGGAGTCTGTCACTCCGACTGACACCAGCTGTTGACGCTGCACCGCTCCTTTGACGGTGTCGACAGGATTTTTCCTTTTCCCCAACTCTCCGTCTCCCTTCGCTTGACACGGTCGATCTGCATTTGAAGCTCCCAATTACTGCGCTTCGCCCCTCGGGTGTGTTCTAATATGTCATATCATGAGCCATCTGCAGCACTGTATCTCTAATATTCCCTCAATTACTGGCAGACTGACGGGAGAATTTAAGATCTCGCTCCTCCGGGCGATCTGCGGCACTCAAATGTGCTCCGTGTCCTGCTCCATTTCTGACACACACACTGAAACTCATGCACTCTTACTGGCTTACATACTAATGCTCCTTCCCTGCTATCCTCACACACACTGACAAACACACACAGAGATGGAAGAAGAAGTACTTGAGTAAAAGTACTTGAGTAAAAGTAGAAGTACTCAGATGTTGTAATTGAGTAAAAGTAGAAGTACTCAGATGTTGTACTTGAGTAAAAGTAGAAGTACCAGAGTGTAGGAATACTCTGTTTCAGTAAAAGTCCTGCATTCAAAATGTTCCTCAAGTGAAAGTAGAAAAGTATTATCATCAAAATATAGTTCAAGTAGCGACAGTAAAAGTAGTCATTGTGCAGATTGGTCCATTTCAGAATAATATATATGATATGTTTTATAATGATTGATCATGAAAGTGTTCTCAAAGCTGGTAAAGGTGCAGCTAGTTTGAATGTCTTTGTATACTGCAGGGTAGCTTGTGGATTTACTCCAGGTGGAACTAAAGTCTGATTTAACACTTGGTTATATTTCACATCATTCATCCACATCTGTAAAGTAACTAAAAGTATTAAATACATGTAGTGGAGTAGAAGTACACAGTAGCATAGAATGGAAATACTCAAGTAAAACACAAGTATCTCAACATTGTACCTAAGTACAGTACTTGAGTAAATGTACTTGGTTACTTTCCACCAGTGATTTTAGGATATTTCTAGCCGCATATACCCATGATGACACACACACACACACACACACACACACACACACACACACACACACACACACACACACACCACACACACACACACACACACACACACACACACACACATCACACACACACACACACACACACACACACACACACACACACACACACACACACACACACACACACACACACACACACACACACACACACACACCACACACACACACACACACACACACACACACACACACACACCACACACACACACACACACACACACACACACACAGGTAGACGGATGGCAGATAAACAGCAGAGTCAGCGCTCCGGTGACAGTGATGAAGGCGAGAGGAAACCCCCCCGAGCGCGAACAACACAGCGAGCACAGCCAGAAGCAGACAGTGTGAGGAGAAACAGCCCTGTGTCCCAGAATGCACTGCTTCTCTGAGGAGCTGCACAATCACTCTCAGATTAAGTGAAATTCAGACGAAGTCATTTTGAAAAAACAATGTGTTGTACATAATTAAAGGTTTGCCACTGAATTTGACAGATCACAGTCTGAGCTGTCTGCAGTTCAGGCTGTAATTAGTTGTAGTTTTGCATATTTAAAGGGCCACTCCATCGGTTTTACACGCGGTTAGGGCTCCTCAGTTTGTGGAAGTGCACAAATATTCATACCTCTTTGCACATTTCTGGAAAACGTTCCCTCTTTTAAATCTAATATACTGCATTTTGTCAAATATGAACTGTACTAAGTCTTTAGTTTAGTGTATATTTGAATGTTAAAGTCCTTCTCTGTGTTTATGTTTGCACCTAAACTAATTCCTTGTATCTGTAAACTAATTGGCTATGAACCTGATTCTGGGAGGTTTTAAATTGAAAGAGGCCAGGGTTTCATGATGGATGAGAAATGACAGACTTAAAACACTAAATTATAGCTATTTAAATTGAATGCTGAATGACTGGTAAAAGTACATTAACAAGCAGTTTCCTGTCTCTACGGATTGTCGACATTTTAGATAATTTCTTGGGTTATGAGCCGAGATATTGGATCCATCATCTTATTCCGCTTCTACCTCCTCTATCCTTATTTAACTTGAGGATTTAACTTATGGAGCTTATGTTATTGTGACCTCTGAAGTACTTGTAATGATGCTTATACCTTTGTATAATCCTGATTGCACCTTTGCAAACACTACTTTTAAAAACAGGATCATAAAAAAGCATATTTACTTAATTCTGTGACACTTTCAGCCCTAACATAATTCCAATTCCTCAATTAATTCATGCTCAAATGTAGCGTTGCATCTTCCTGATTGAGCCCAAAGAAAGGAATCTTCTTTAATCTTTTTTTAGACAGGCAACACGTCTCTATTTCAGTAACAAACTCTTTTTAAAAACTGTGCTCGAGTTCCTCATGTAGCAGGTATTTTGGGAGCGCAGCGTGCTGTGTGTGTCTGTAGTGTGTGTGTGTGTGTGTGTGTGTGTGTGTGTGTGTGTGTGTGTGTGTGTGTGTGTGTGTGTGTGTGTGTGTGTGTGTGTGTGTGTGTGTGTGTGTGTGTGTGTGTCTGTAGTGTGTGTAGAGAGTACAGTACCAGCAGAGGCCGTCCTCCCTGCCAAAGAGCAAGTTGGACTGAGAGGCCAAGCTGCAGAGGAGGGGGAGGAAAAAAGAGACAAGCAAGTTTAAAAAACGAGAGCTCCGACAGCAGGGAACCAGCGGGACGGAGGCCAGGCACGCTCAGTGGTAACAGAGGAAAAATAAAAAGGCTCAACAGCTGCTTCAGACATGTTGCTAAGAGGCAGAGCGGGAAGTGTTGCTGCTCACACACATTTGATTTTCTTCCACACGCAATGCATTCTTACAGTCCGCTCCAAAAGACCTAAAAACGTTGGCTTTTCCCTAAAAATGGGGGTCAAGCCAACGGGAGTTTCAAAAGGAATATTCCCTACATTCTCCAACAGTGTATTTTATTTAAGAGCCTGCTATAAATACACTTGTTTCATTGGACTTGAGGGATGAAATAAGGCATATTTCTTGCAGAATAGAGACGACAGCCCTCTGTGTTTCCCTTTTATGAGAGAATTGACGGTAAATGCATCATTTGTTGTAAGCATTCAGTATGTTGGGCTCATGTGATGCCTACATCAGTTTGCTACTAGTAAACAGACATTTCTGTCTATCAACAGCTAGATGTTCCTGTTTGACTGGAGGGATGAACTTATGCATGTTTTGCAATTATTTGTAGAAGGGAGATGGCAACCCTTATTGGACAGATTTTAGTTTCCTAACAACTTACAGAAAATGCAATTGTGATTTCTTTGTATGCATCCAATATGCCAGGCTAATCTATGTTGGCTGATACGTGAAAAACGCGTTACAACGGCCCAAAACCATGAGAACAAACGCGCTGCAGCCTCAAAAACGATGCAAATATAAAAACACATGGAAGAGATCTTCACCAACTTGACGAAACATGCGCAGCGTTTACTAAAAATGACGGTTGGCTAACTTTTTAATCCTCGAACGTCACCAAGTGTTTGGGTTCCCATCTGTGTGCGTCACTTTTTAATGTCCCCTGGTTCTGTTGTGTTTTGAGCTTCTTGCAGCGTTTTGTTTACACAGCGCTTTTAGTAAACGCTGGGCATGTGACGTCAAGTTGGTGAAGATGTTTCTCTATCTGTTTTGGCACATTTGTGTTTTGACATTAGCATCGTTTCTGAAGCTGCAGCGAGGTCTCTAAATGGAAATGTTCCGCGTTGGCACCTGTGGGCCACCGTACTAATCTGAAGCACAAATCAACTGGCTACCGATAAGCAGACACTTTTCATACACAGCTCTTAACAGCTGCATGCAAAGTGTAATAATCTGCTTTTAAACGTAGAACCAATAACCATAAGCATCCAATGACCGTACAGTCTATATGTGTTTTGCTCATTTAAACTATAGCAGGTAGCAGAATGTGTAATGAAGCGTCTGCTGTTTTTTTTTTGTGTTAACTCTGTGGTGTGTAATGTGTACTCTGGGAAAACACAGATTCCTCTGGGGAGGTTTCACTGAACAGCCTCTGATAGCATGTGTGCATTGTGCCCTGCTGATTAAAAACAGTGTGTCCTGTAAGCAATTCAGCAGTGTGTGTGCGCTGTCTGCAAGTGTGTTTTTATTCTTAAACAACAGCTGAGAGAAGGAGGGACAGAGACACAGACTGAGAGAGAGAAAATGTGTTTTTCTGGGCAAAAAAAGAGAAGAAAGTGAGAAGCAGGGAATCTTCAGCCACCAATAAGACATTGCATCCACTCCACAGTTATTGATTTGTAGCCATGAATGGATCAAATGGACAAAAACAACAATAATGCACGAGCACACAATGTCCAGAGAAGTTGTTCTGTTTGTTTCCCTGCTAAAATGTACCAGTCTGCAGATAACACATCGACGCCGAGAGGAAACAAACAACAAATGGCATCCGGAGAGCAATTCTATATAGACAGGGAAACAGGCCAAATAAGAGAGGCTCTGCAGGGTGGAGGGTGGCAGCCGTGATATATTAACATTTAGATTACGGGAGAGAAGGGGAGTCAACAGGTGTACGCCAGATTAAACTCTGAGAAAAAAAGCATGAAGTAAGGAATGATTAAATAAAGGGGGGATGGGAGAGGATGAGCTGACAGAAATGATTTCCTGGTGCCGAGTTTAAGTGTGAACGACAGCGAAGGCGGCCAAACCGTCGTTCACTGTTTGATTGGACAAAGCTTTGTTTGAGATGAAATCAGAAAGCAGTCTGGGGCTGCAGAAGTGTCCGTCGTGCAGAGAGAACAGTTGGGAAAACGCAGCTCGCTTGTTTTCAGTGACAGACACTGTGATGGCACACACAGATGGATCAACCTGCCCCGTGTTGATTCTGCTGTCAAACCACAGCGCACAATAAATCCCTGCTTGTTCAGTAAAGTCAGGATTAGTGATCCAAATGTCTTAAAGAACACAACAGATACACTTAATGTGATACTTATTACCCTTTATGCTCCTTTTCAGGTTCATATTAGTATGTAGTGTCTCTACTTTAAAGAGTCCTCTCCTGCTGATGTTCAGGTGTATATCAGTATGTAGTGTCTCTACTTTAAAGAGTCCTCTCCTGCTGATGTTCAGGTGTATATCAGTATGTAGTGTCTCTACTTTAAAGAGTCCTCTCCTGCTGATGTTCAGGTGTATATCAGTATGTAGTGTCTCTACTTTAAAGAGTCCTCTCCTGCTGATGTTCAGGTGTATATCAGTATGTAGTGCCTCTACTTTAAAGAGTCCTCTCCTGCTGATGTTCAGGTGTATATCAGTATGTAGTGTCTCTACTTTAAAGAGTCCTCTCCTGCTGATGTCCAGGTGTATATCAGTATGTAGTGTCTCTACTTTAAAGAGTCCTCTCCTGCTGATGTTCAGGTGTATATCAGTATGTAGTGTCTCTACTTTAAAGAGTCCTCTCCTGCTGATGTTCAGGTGTATATCAGTATGTAGTGTCTCTACTTTAAAGAGTCCTCTCCTGCTGATGTTCAGGTGTATATCAGTATGTAGTGTCTCTACTTTAAAGAGTCCTCTCCTGCTGATGTTCAGGTGTATATCAGTATGTAGTGTCTCTACTTTAAAGAGTCCTCTCCTGCTGATGTTCAGGTGTATATCAGTATGTAGTGTCTCTACTTTAAAGAGTCCTCTCCTGCTGATGTTCAGGTGTATATCAGTATGTAGTGCCTCTACTTTAAAGAGTCCTCTCCTGCTGATGTTCAGGTGTATATCAGTATGTAGTGTCTCTACTTTAAAGAGTCCTCTCCTGCTGATGTTCAGGTGTATATCAGTATGTAGTGTCTCTACTTTAAAGAGTCCTCTCCTGCTGATGTTCAGGTGTATATCAGTATGTAGTGTCTCTACTTTAAAGAGTCCTCTCCTGCTGATGTTCAGGTGTATATCAGTATGTAGTGTCTCTACTTTAAAGAGTCCTCTCCTGCTGATGTTCAGGTGTATATCAGTATGTAGTGCCTCTACTTTAAAGAGTCCTCTCCTGCTGATGTTCAGGTGTATATCAGTATGTAGTGTCTCTACTTTAAAGAGTCCTCTCCTGCTGATGTCCAGGTGTATATCAGTATGTAGTGTCTCTACTTTAAAGAGTCCTCTCCTGCTGATGTTCAGGTGTATATCAGTATGTAGTTGTCTCTACTTTAAAGAGTCCTCTCCTGCTGATGTTCAGGTGTATATCAGTATGTAGTGTCTCTACTTTAAAGAGTCCTCTCCTGCTGATGTTCAGGTGTATATCAGTATGTAGTGTCTCTACTTTAAAGAGTCCTCTCCTGCTGATGTTCAGGTGTATATCAGTATGTAGTGTCTCTACTTTAAAGAGTCCTCTCCTGCTGATGTTCAGGTGTATATCAGTATGTAGTGTCTCTACTTTAAAGAGTCCTCTCCTGCTGATGTTCAGGTGTATATCAGTATGTAGTGTCTCTACTTTAAAGAGTCCTCTCCTGCTGATGTTCAGGTGTATATCAGTATGTAGTGCCTCTACTTTAAAGAGTCCTCTCCTGCTGATGTTCAGGTGTATATCAGTATGTAGTGTCTCTACTTTAAAGAGTCCTCTCCTGCTGATGTTCAGGTGTATATCAGTATGTAGTGTCTCTACTTTAAAGAGTCCTCTCCTGCTGATGTTCAGGTGTATATCAGTATGTAGTGTCTCTACTTTAAAGAGTCCTCTCCTGCTGATGTTCAGGTGTATATCAGTATGTAGTGTCTCTACTTTAAAGAGTCCTCTCCTGCTGATGTTCAGGTGTATATCAGTATGTAGTGTCTCTACTTTAAAGAGTCCTCTCCTGCTGATGTTCAGGTGTATATCAGTATGTAGTGTCTCTACTTTAAAGAGTCCTCTCCTGCTGATGTTCAGGTGTATATCAGTATGTAGTGTCTCTACTTTAAAGAGTCCTCTCCTGCTGATGTTCAGGTGTATATCAGTATGTAGTGTCTCTACTTTAAAGAGTCCTCTCCTGCTGATGTTCAGGTGTATATCAGTATGTAGTGTCTCTACTTTAAAGAGTCCTCTCCTGCTGATGTTCAGGTGTATATCAGTATGTAGTGTCTCTACTTTAAAGAGTCCTCTCCTGCTGATGTCCAGGTGTATATCAGTATGTAGTGTCTCTACTTTAAAGAGTCCTCTCCTGCTGATGTTCAGGTGTATATCAGTATGTAGTGTCTCTACTTTAAAGAGTCCTCTCCTGCTGATGTTCAGGTGTATATCAGTATGTAGTGTCTCTACTTTAAAGAGTCCTCTCCTGCTGATGTCCAGGTGTATATCAGTATGTAGTGTCTCTACTTTAAAGAGTCCTCTCCTGCTGATGTTCAGGTGTATATCAGTATGTAGTGTCTCTACTTTAAAGAGTCCTCTCCTGCTGATGTTCAGGTGTATATCAGTATGTAGTGTCTCTACTTTAAAGAGTCCTCTCCTGCTGATGTTCAGGTGTATATCAGTATGTAGTGTCTCTACTTTAAAGAGTCCTCTCCTGCTGATGTCCAGGTGTATATCAGTATGTAGTGTCTCTACTTTAAAGAGTCCTCTCCTGCTGATGTTCAGGTGTATATCAGTATGTAGTGTCTCTACTGGGACATGTCTCCATGCTTTAATGTTCTTCATTGTTCTCATACTGCCTGTGCTGCAGCACCTCTTTTCACCCTCCGTCTGAAACCAGACAAGTGTTGAAATGTTGTGTTTGAATGTGGAAATGAGGCATTATGTTATACTACCCTTTGGTGAATTTAGGAGAAATCTACAGATGCAAATAGACAACAATAGTAAAATAAACTTCTAAGTGTATATTTTGTTTATACTGATCTGAAACATGTCGTGGAAGCAAAACAGACCAGAATCTCAAAACTTTAATATTAAAGATTAGAAACACTTCATAGTATATCAAAACTATTTTGATTTCCCTCAGCAGAGAAGCTATATCTGGATTGTTTTAGCTAATTCCCTTGAGAATAAGCGCTGGCTCCTTCTTCATTTCCTGAGTGTTTTACCAGATCTAACTGCTGAATAATTTCATGCAATCTGGACATCCATTTGTTAAAACAGGGCGATGAGAGGATCTCTGCTGACTATATCCTGCTTTCTCAAAGACACACAAACCCCCTAGGAGCCACAGCTGCTGTATACAATAACAAACAACCTATTATCATATTTTCATGGACAATTTTCAGCTTGTCAGACGGAGAAACACACAACAGTCTCCCTGCTGACAGATCGCATTACTTCAAGTGTCAGTTGTTAAACACACTTCTGTTATCTTCATTTTGTTGTGTGTGATAGAGACTGTGAGCAGCTGCAGTCTCTTAAATTGACTTCAAGCAAAGACATTTCTAGGGTCCGAGCACCGACACCGTCAGGTCAAGGTTTTGCATTATTATGTCTAAAAAGAATCACAGTTTGGAGGGCCTAAACATGTTTTCAGATGCAATTTTCGGTGGTGAAAATGTACGCATATTAGGGTTCGCGCACCTAGAACGAAGTCTTTATATTGTCCTACATGTATGAAATTTGGTGAGTGTATGTATCACGTGGAGTCGACAAATAAAGTATATTGTGACTAGAATGTAAACCCATCAGGAATTCGGCCATCTTTAGTTTTACAGCATTTTTTGACCAATTCAGGCAGCCCCTTCTTCCGATTTTATCCGATGGACTTCAAATGTTGTTGAATACAATGTTGAATGTCAATCACAGCAGACTCAAGAGCCTTACAGACTATTAACTGATTATCAAACTCCATCTAATTCCAACCTCCATTTCATTTAATGTTATCAATCAAAATAAGTGGCTTTGACAGCGAAGCTACGTCTAAATTATTCTTTCTAGTAGTGCTGCTGTGTCTGAGGAATTGGAGTCTATGAAGACTGCCGGCTGACAGTGACAGCTAAATGGCTGCAGAGTAAAATTTTAATGCACTGTGTGGTGTACAGCTGAGCACTGGGACGCCGTTTGGTCCTGAACGCAGCATCAGGAGACGCCTTTTCAGAGCGACACACTGCAGCGCCTCCCTCTTTGTTCGTGACACTTCCAAAGAGCTTCACATCTCAGAGTTATGTGCACGCAGATGCTTACAACCACACGAGTAAACTGTCTTAAACTGAAGGAGCGATGAAGTGCAGACAGCAAAGCATTAACATGTAACACACAGATGGAAAGGACAGAAGGTTTTGCATTGATTTTGTGATTTCTTTGGGTTATTTGGCTCCTAACCAAAGCCTGTGAGTATAACTTTACAGATAAGAAGGCATAGCAGAGCCGCTTAGCACCAGATGCTATCATGTCATTCACCTCAGGTTAGCAGCAAAATTGGAGATGCAGTTAACCATCTCTGCATTCTGTTTCTCTGCACCCCACATGCTGTGGAGAAAAAGGGGGGAGGGAGGACAAAACAAGAGGCAGTTACAAGCTGCTCCCCCATCCACAGGTTAGCCTAGCACAGCCAGACGGCTAACAGAAAAGACTTAGCACTAGCGGCTAAAATGCTACGACACACATGGTCCTGAAAAGTTTAAAATGGCTGCTTTCCCCTGCCTGTGATGTAATGAAGACTTTTCTTTTGGCCGCTGCTTTTAATTGAACTATTCATATCTCACACTGCACTGTTTGTATATATTGATTGTTGTGCTTGTATTTAGATCTTAATGTGTGCATATGTATACATGTGTCTTGTGTATATAAAGGTATATACATATTAGTTTTTGTATTCTGGATTGTGGGAAACGGTATTTCGGTCTCTCTGTCTGTACACACAAACTGGAAGACTGACCATAAAGTTGACTTTGACTTACTTTTATGAATGTATTTTATTTTATGTTGATTTGATTATCTTTGCTTTTTAATGACTTTTTTTTTTTTTTAAATGCCATTTTCTTAATGTCTTTCATTTTTGTAAAGCACTTTGAATTGCTATTTAAAAACACTTGCCTTGCCTAAACAACACTATAAACACCTGACTGACAACGACTTAGTATTCTCTGAAGTAACTTTACAACAGAACATCTGATAAGAGACATGTTTTTAAATGGTGTGTGTGTCGTGTGTTGCCGGATAACACGGCTAGCAGACTAGCTACCAGGAGCTAAATGAGAGAAGGACCCCAGTGGGAGTGGGATCTGAGGGGGGGGTGAGTGGGAGGATGGCAGTGGAGGTGGGGAGAAGAGGCATGGAGTATCTAGGTCACCGCTAAGATGAATCAAACACAGCTGGGGTGATAGCACAGCTCCGTACGGGAGAGAGGCTTCAAATGTTTCATGAGTCTGAGTCAGAGGTGGGAGAGCCACTTTGAATTCATTTAGTTTATCCACAGTGGAGAAACACTCTGTCCTGCATTCAGTGTTTATTACTTAAGCATTGCATCAAAATGTATTTGAACTACCATTTTGTCTTAATTTACATTATTTCATTTCATATTCTGTTCTTGTACATATCCTATATTCTATCATGTACATAGACTTCTTGCACTACTGTTTATTTTGTATTGCTGTATTTTATTATATATGTTGCATTGTTGGAGGAGCTCAGGTCAGAAGAATTTCATTACCATTTCTACACTGTAGCTTATGACAATTAAACCTTTGAATCTTTGAATTAATTAAAGTGTTTTTTGATGCAGAATGGCAATTTTTTAGAGTAATATGCAACACTTTATTGGATTTTGAAGAGTAATAGATTACATGTAACAGGATTATGTAATCAGGATACAGAACAAGGTAACTGTGTTCCCTTACACTTACTTAATACAAATAACTGTCGGCTGTTGATATCTATGTATATGTATGTGTATGTGTGTATATATATATATATGTGTGTGTATGTATATGTGTATATATATATATATGTGTATGTGTGTGTGTGTGTATATATATATATGTGTATGTGTGTGTGTGTGTATATATATATGTGTATGTGTGTGTATGTATATGTGTATATATATATATATGTGTATGTGTGTGTGTGTGTGTATATATATGTGTATGTGTGTGTGTGTGTATATATATATATGTGTATGTGTGTGTGTGTGTGTATATATATATGTGTATGTGTGTATGTATATGTGTATATGTATATATGTCAATCAACAAGTAAGGCAGATTCATAATAATAATAATAATAACAATAATAATTAATAATAATAATAATAATAATAATGATGATAATTATTTATAGATTATAAATAAATAATTTAGGGACAAGGGGGTGAGATTAAATAAATTATACTTCTTCTCACTCCTTTTCCAATACTAGATGTGGGACTGTTTATGTTGCTAATGCTGTTGTTGTTGTTGTTGTTGTTGTTGTTGTGAAGGTCACTTTGTTTTGTTTTCTCTTACATGACTATGCACTGCAACATTTTTTGTTTTGTAATTATTTATTTTACTTAAATCAATCAATCAATCAACTAATCAGATGACTGTGACATAACATAATAAGAAATAATTAATATTATTGATCATTCTTTTTTTCTAAGGTGACATTGTTCTGTTGTTTTACATAACACACTACCGTAATAAACATATTATTAATATTTGTTTTCTCTTGTATTTGCATTGCGTTTGATCCTGTAGAGGTCATCCTAAATGAATGGAGAGTAATCAGGTTACATTTGTTTCTTTATACTTAGATTAGGTGACAGGTAACTCGTAATCCTCCAAACCCTAAATTATAATTAGTCATTAAAGAATGTGTGCATCCTTTTAAATGTACACATTGTCTTCTTATACTGTCAGGTATCATAATACATCAAATCCTTTGTTGTTATCATTTATATTAATACTGTTTAGTCTTATTTTTATTCCAGATTGCCAATTTTATAATCCTGAACGTCACCAAGCGCTCTAAGTTACAGCTTCTTAAACGTCTACTGGTGGTTTTAAAGAGGAAAGGGTAAAAAAGGTCATAAAATACATGTCATGTCCTCTGGTTTCCGCTGTGTTATGAGTCTCTTGCAACGTTTTTTTATTTGTATAATGTTTGGCTTTGCAGCGTGTCCTTCATGCATCGAAGTTGGTGAAGATGTTTTATTAAGTGTGTTTTTATATTTGCATCGTTTTCAAAAGTGCAGCGAGCTTCTCCTGTCAGACATGTTTTGGGCCAGCGTAGAAAGGAGAAGGAGTAGAAAGTAGCATAAAGTGGAAATACCTTAATCAGGGTTCATACACTTTTTCACCAATGATTTTCAATGACTTTTCAATGACTTCTCCATGACCTTTACCTAATTTTCCATGATCAAAAACATGACTCTTTCTCAGCGGTACCACTGAAAATGTTTTATTTTAACATGGAACAGGAAAATAAGGTCTGCATCTGAAACATGTTGTGCCTACCTAAAACAAATCAAGTAGGCTTACTAGCTTCTACACGCTAAAGCAACTCAAATCTCCAGCAAAACACCTCGTCAGTTAAAAGCCATTTTACGTTTCCTTACTATACGATACAGTATGTATTATCATTATAGTATTACTATTTTGGCGATTAGATAAAATATAAATTATATTTGATGCAACTTTAGTTACATTTCCATAACTTTTCCAGGACCTGGAATTAGCATTTTGAATTTCCATGACTTAAGAACCCTGCTTAAAGTTAAGTTCAGTACTTAGTTACTTAAGGACTTAACTGCTCTAAGTTACATCTTTTTAAACATCTACTGGTGGCATTTGAAAGAGGAAAAGGTAAAAAAGGTTGTGAAAAACATTGAATGATTTAGTTAAATAAAGAGAAAGCAACTTACACCAAGTTACTGAGCGACGCCAGGCTCATCTGACTCGACTGTTGCTGCTGTTGTTGTTGCTGCTGATGCTGCTGCTGCTGCTGCTGCTGCTGTTGCTGGGAGACCACTGGTTGCTGTTGCCAGGCAGCCATGGACGGTGTGAACGTCTGCAGCGCGGTGAGATCTGCACTCGTCAGCTGGTACTCTGAGATAAAGGGAGAACGAGAGAGGATGAGGATGAGGATGAGGAGGAGGAGGGGGGGGTTGTTTTTACATCACACAAGTTTTTCTGGAGCATCAATATTAATCAGAGCTAATCCATATTAATGGAGACCTTTGAAGTGCAAGTGTTCCACAATGAACAAAGTGAATATTCATAGTGGTTTGTGGCATCGCACTGCAAAGGGTTTCAAGTATTTCTTCACGTGGCACTTGGAGATATTTCACGACACACAAAGCAGACTGTGTGTTTGACTCTGAGTCCTATTTTGTAAAGGAACGACCATAAGGCATACTAAAGGGTTATTAGATAAGAGAAGATAAGCCTGTATTGAATATTTAAATGCAGGTGACTTAGCGGCAATTTAATATTAAGGAAATCCAAAAAGTAACGGAAAGTAATCAGGTTACTTTTATTTTTTGGTAATCAGACTAGATTGAAATTGAAAACGCATCTATTTGAAAACACCAAGCAATTTAGGCTTTGTATCTGAGTCACCAGCACTTACTATGGTACGATCTTAATAAGTGAATATATCTGCACTTCCCTTGTTGTTTAGAGTTTGATTCTTTATGGTCTTTGCACTCATTGTAAGTCACTTTGGATAAAAGCCTCAGCTAAATGATATGTCATTATTTTGTTTATTATTTACATGTATACAGAGGTAACTAGTTATTTGAACGGAACATTACAAGTAACCCTCCCAACCCAATTATATATTATTAACACATCCAGGATTGGAGAGAGTTAATGTGTCTTACAGAAACATTACAAGCTAAAAAGCACCAAACAGCTGGCTCTAACCCTCCTAAATGGTAAAAAAAAAAAAAGGAAATATAGGTGTTGAGTTTCCTGTCCCGACGTAAACACACAGATTTAGTCCGTGGTGCGTTCGCTGTCTTACCCGTATTGTAGGCCGTCTGCATGCCGGAGAAGGGTGCGAGGAGACTGGGTGTTGCCACGGAGACCACAGGTGTGGTGAGCGACTGGGAGACGCCTAGCCGCTGAGCATTCTGGGAAAACACAGAGATGGAGGGAGGAAATATGAGATACAGGAAGTAGGATCTGGGGATTTTTAGGAGCGTTTGGAGGTGGCTTCAAGGGAGTCTCCAACAAAATGGAAACTTTTGGAACATAATGACATCACTACAGAACACTCGTGCTCCTATTGGCTAGCGCTTCAACACATTGTACGTGATAAGCTAAGGGGCGGGACATCTCTAAGCGTGGAGAAATGTCCCAGTAGAGACACTACATACTGATATACACCTGAACGTCAGCAGGAGAGGACTCTTTAAAGTAGAGACACTACATACTGATATACACTTGAACGTCAGCAGGAGATTACTCTTTAAAGTAGAGACACTACATACTGATATACACCTGAACGTCAGCAGGAGAGGACTCTTTAAAGTAAAGACACTACATACTGATATACACTTGAACGTCAGCAGGAGATTACTCTTTAAAGTAGAGACACTACATACTGATATACACCTGAACATCAGCAGGAGAGGACTCTTTAAAGTAGAGATACTACATACTGATATGAACCTGAACATCAGCAGGAGAGGACTCTTTAAAGTAGAGACACTACATACTGACATACACCTGAACATCAGCAGGAGAGGACTCTTTAAAGTAGAGACACTACATACTAATATGAGCCTGAACATCAGCAGGAGAGGACTCTTTAAAGTAAAGACACTACATACTAATATGAGCCTGAACATCAGCAGGAGAGGACTCTTTAAAGTAGAGACACTACATACTGATATGAACCTGAACATCAGCAGGAGAGGACTCTTTAAAGTAGAGACACTACATACTGACATACACCTGAACATCAGCAGGAGAGGACTCTTTAAAGTAGAGACACTACATACTAATATGAGCCTGAACATCAGCAGGAGAGGACTCTTTAAAGTAAAGACACTACATACTGATATACACTTGAACGTCAGCAGGAGAGGACTCTTTAAAGTAGAGACACTACATACTGATATACACCTGAACATCAGCAGGAGAGGACTCTTTAAAGTAGAGACACTACATACTGATATACACCTGAACATCAGCAGGAGAGGACTCTTTAAAGTAGAGACACTACATACTGATATACACCTGAACATCAGCAGGAGAGGACTCTTTAAAGTAGAGACACTACATACTGATATACACCTGAACATCAGCAGGAGAGGATTCTTTAAAGTAGAGACACTACATACTGATATACACCTGAACATCGGCAGGAGAGGACTCTTTAAAGTAGAGACACTACATACTGATATACACCTGAACATCAGCAGGAGAGGACTCTTTAAAGTAGAGACACTACATACTGATATACACCTGAACATCAGCAGGAGAGGACTCTTTAAAGTAGAGACACTACATACTGATATACACCTGAACATCAGCAGGAGAGGATTCTTTAAAGTAGAGACACTACATACTGATATACACCTGAACATCGGCAGGAGAGGACTCTTTAAAGTAGAGACACTACATACTGATATACACCTGAACATCAGCAGGAGAGGACTCTTTAAAGTAGAGACACTACATACTAATATGAGCCTGAACATTTGCATAATAGGTCCCCTTTAAGGAATGTTGCCCTATATCAAGATTGGAAACGTTGTAATAGTGTAAATAAATACTCTGATGCTATGACATCCATCTAACATTCACAACTGAACTCTATTTTCTTGGCTCTTTGCATCCAGTGTCGTGAGAAAACCTGGTCGGGTTTCACCTCGTTTTTTATCCCCTTTTATGGGCCCATTGTAGGGGAACATGACATCATCCATTTTCAACAGTAATAATGATAATGGTTAGCATGTGCTTCCCACTGTACAGCAGAGCGGCTGCAGAGACGTTGTTGCAATGAGAACTATTTAATTACACTATTACTACTGAAATGTTTCACTTAAATCACAGCTTGTTCTGCTTTTAGTCCAAATGGAAAACCCATGCATTAGTCTTTGCTTCACGAAGCTAAGTGCAGCAACACCAATTCACTTTTGTATCCCTCAGTTTGGGGTTTTATTGGCAGATTAAATAAAGACAAATAGTATAAAGCAAATGCACCAGAGCAGTGATAAATGTGCAGGGCAGTGGATGATGTTTTTTTTTTTTTTGCACCCCTGCGAGAAAACACAAGCACCTCCATTCCTCCCCGAGGCGTTTAACTTTTTCATCGACACTTTAACATCTGCGTGCAAAGATGACAAATGTCTCGCATCTCGAGGTGGCGTTGGCATGGCGTTATGTAGCGTCACGGAGGAAGGTGTGATGAGAGGCTTCATGCCGACAGGAACGCATGCATCGACAAATGTGTGTGTGTGTGTGTGTGTGTGTGTGTGTGTGTGTGTGTGTGTGTGTGTGTGTGTGTGTGTGTGTGTGTGTGTGTGTGTGTGTGTGTGTGTGTGTGTGTGTGTGTGTGTGTGTGTGTGTGTGTGTTTGAAACTTATGTGTGTGCCATGGTGTGAAAAGAAGGTATGTGAGGATTGCAAACACAGTGAAAGGTGTTTGTTTTTTGGGTGTGTATTTATGCGGAGAAATATGCATGAACACATGTCGGGATGAATGTGTGTGTGTGTTTTTGGGGGGGTGAAGGGGTCAGTGTGCCGACCTCCAGTGTGTGTGTGTGTGTGTGTGTGTGTGTGTGTGTGTGTGTGTGTGTGTGTGTGTGTGTGTGTGTGTGTGTGTGTGTTCCAGGTTGTGATGTTTTCTCACTTTGATCCTCTGAGCGTCGGCACTGAGATAAACCAAACATGCACATGCTGAGCAAACTTCACACAGTCAGCTGGCCGCTCCGGTTCCCTCAATGATCCCTCAATGTTCCCTCAATGTTCCTTTGTGTACTCTCAATGTTCCCTGGATGTTCCTTTGTGTACTCTCAATGTTCCCTGGATGTTCCTTTGTGTACTCTCAATGTTCCCTTGATGTTCCCTCAATGTCCCTTCAATATTCTCGTATGTTCCCTCAGTGTTTTCGAAATGTTTCTTCAATGTTTCTTACATATTCTCATAAAGTTCTCTAGATGTTTCTTAATGTTCCCTCAATGTTCCCTTGTGTACTCTCAATGTTCCCTCAGTTTCCCCTAAATATTCTTGTAATGTTCCATCAATGTTTTCTTAATGTTCCTTTTGTGTTCTCTCAATGTTCCTTAAATATTCTCGTAATTTTCCCTCAATGTTCCTTCAATGTTCTATCAGTGTTCCCTCAGTGTTCCCTCAGTGTTCCCTCAGTGTTCCCTCAGTGTTCCCTCAATGTCCCCTCAATGTCCCTTTGTGTTCTCTCAATGTTCTCTCAATGTTCCCTCAATGTTCCCTCAGTGTTCCCTCAGTGTTCCCTCAGTGTTCCCTCAGTGTTCCCTCAGTGTTCCCTCAATGTTTCCTCAATATTCTCGTAATGTTTCCTCAATATGTTCTTATTGTTCGCTCAATGTTCTTTTAATGTTCCCTCAATGTTCCTTCAATGTTCTCGTAATGTTCCCTCAAAAGCTTCCTATTTTATGAAAATATCTTATTTTATTCTTACTTTTAATTGATTGAATTGATCTTTTACTCTCAGGAAACCCGACTCCCCCCTGTGATAAATGAAGTATTCCTGATTCTGCCTCTCTTTATTATCCGGCATCGTTCGGGGATTTTACCGGGCAAACTTCAAACTCCTTAAAAGTTAATTTGTTTTAGATTCAAGTGTCCAGCCCTCTTGATCTCGACTCTCCTCGAGTGTGTCTCTGCGTTGGGACTGTGAGAGGCTCGGTGTGTGTATTGAACTCTGAATCCTGCAGGAACCAGTGCAAGCAGCTGATTGGTTCCTGGTGTTCCCCCTCTCTTCTTCTACTCTCTTCAACCCTAACGAAGGTGCATGCTCATGCTCGGTGAGATCATTCCACATCAACGAGGTTTAAAATTCTGAAAGGGGTCTTCACCTCACTCACCAACTCCAGCTCTTCCTCTGTCTGCACGGCCGGGGGGGGGGGGGGTAAAACACAGAGGACCGTTACCTTTCTACTACTAACTGCAGTCGAATATGATCAAACATGTGTTATATTATAAGTCGTACTGATTAAATGTGCTGGTAGATCCACGTCGATGCATGCTTTGATCCGTCTGTATAAGTGTTCGTCTGATAGAGATATGTAACGTTTCATGGTTTGTTGATTATGTGTGCTCCTGCAGATGGAAATTAGGTCAAATCTGACATCTCTTTTTTGAGATTAGTGCATTTTAATACATGGTCCTTGTTTAATTTAAATGAGTTTTGTACGGTGGCTGACAGGTGCAAACGTGCTACAACCGCCCAAAACATTTCCGTTTGGAGTACGATGCAAATATAAAAACACACATTTTGCAAAACACATCGAAATGAAGAAACATCTTCACCATCTTGAGGAAATATGTGCAGTGTTTACTAAAAGTGCCGTATAAAATTAAAATAATAAAACGTGCTAGAAGCTCAAATACAACGGGAACTGTTTCCAGGGGACTCTAAAAAGTGATGCACACAATGAAAGGTAAGTTTCCAACAACAGAGTCAGTTGTTCAGCTTTATAATCCTGAACGTCACCAAGCGCTCCGTCCCAGCTGTGTGCGTCACTCTTTAGTGTCCCCTGGTCTCCCAGCTGTGTGCGTCACTCTTTAGTGTCCCCTGGTCTCCCAGCTGTGTGCGTCACTTTTTAGTGTCCCCTGGTCTCCCAGCTCTGTGTGTCACTTTTTAGTGTCCCCTGGTCTCCCAGCTGTGTGCATCACTCTTTAGTGTCCCCTGGTCTCCCAGCTGTGTGCGTCACTTTTTAGTGTCCCCTGGTCTCCCAGCTGTGTGCGTCACTCTTTAGTGTCTCCTGGTCTCCCAGCTGTGTGCGTCACTCTTTAGTGTCCCCTGGTCTCCATCTGTGTGCGTCACTCTTTAGTGTCCCCTGGTCTCCCAGCTGTGTGCGTCACTCTTTAGTGTCCCCTGGTCTCCCAGCTGTGTGCGTCACTCTTTAGTGTCCCCTGGTCTCCCAGCTGTGTGCGTCACTCTTTAGTGTCCCCTGGTCTCCCAGCTGTGTGCGTCACTTTTTAGTGTCCCCTGGTCTCACAGCTGTGTGCGTCACTCTTTAGTGTCCCCTGGTCTCCATTGTGTTTTGAGATTCTTGAGCGTTTTGTATTTGCAGCGTTTGGTTTCTGCAGCTCGTATCTCCTACTGGAAATGTGTTGGGGCGTTGAAGGGCGTTGGCATGCACCTGTCGGACACTATAACTTTGTGTTTGATACCGAAATCAGATTTATTTTGGCCAGACTCGTTGTGACTCGGGGTCTAAATGCAGGTCGCTCTTCAGGGAAACTCCTCTGTTGCACCCCTCAGTGAAACATGGAGTTTATTTCTGTCTCTGCTTTAACAAAACCTTTTTTTAGTGTCTGACTTCATACAGAGTTTATTCCTGTCACGGTACAGCTTCGTGATGACACAGCGGTGACATTTGCAGTAACATTTTTAATTGTTTTCCTGTAAATGCAACTACATTTGCACTGCTAGTTTCCTCAGCGGCACTCAGCAGTGGTAACCGAGTCTTTTAATTGAACTTGCCCACAGCAGGTCACCTCATACGGGTCCATTGATTATGCTAATGATGAAATCTCAAGAAATCACACACGCTAATGAACCGCTCGTTTCATCAGGTTGAAAAGAGCATGTGTAATAGGTTAAAGATAAGAACATGAAAACCATCCTGAATAAGTCTTATTATGAAAAGGCTTTCAATTAACACTCAGAGCCCCTTGCAATGTTCTCTTTATCTGTCAAATTAGGAACTTTGTGACCAGGGAACCGCGTTGACAACCATGTGTAGACCGTTATTTTTATACATTTACTTATACCTCTTAATATATACCTCTTAATGCGTGGTTATGTATATATGTGACTATATATCTGTATGTATGTGTATATAAGTGGGTGTTCAGGCGTGTATTTGTATACATGATGTCCCTGTTTGTATCAAACACAGAGAAATTGACAATAAAGTCGACTTTGACTTTCATTTTACGGCTTTACTCCACACTAGACTTTAGATTTCCTAAAAAAAATCTCATTTAATTCTCGTTCTGTATTTACATTTTTAAGTAATCGGGCCAAATATTTTCCACATTCAGCGCCCCGTCCCCATGTGAGTTTGTCCCCTCTAAGTTTGTCCCTGTGTGTTTTGCCGTAGCGTCAACACTTTTACTCCACACTAGACTTTAGATTTCCTATAAAACATCTCATATCATTTTCATTCAGTAGCAATCGGACCCAATCTATTCCACATGCAGTGTCCCTTCCCCTTGTGAGTTTGTCCCCTCTAAGTTTGTCCCTGAGTGTTTGCCGTAGCTCACCAGCTGCATGAGGCTCTTGCTCTGCGAGGTGATGACCCTCAGGTCCGGCTTGCGGCTGTTCATCTGAGGGCTGGGCGGAGGCGGAGATTTGGCCTGGACTACTTTCCCCAGGCTGTTGCCGTTGGATACGGAGAGGAGGCCCGGGGAGGCCCTGGCGCTGATGTAGCCGTTAGCTGGAGAGAGAGAGAGAGGGAAAGAGAGAGAATTTTTTTTAAACACTTTAATTTAGATTTTCAATAACAATTAGCTCATTTAACTAGAGAACATGAGAGGGAGTGTGCGTGTGCGTGTGTGCGTGTGTGTGTGTGTGTGTGTGTGTGTGTGTGTGTGTGTGTGTGTGTGTGTGTGTGTGTGTGTGTGTATGTATGTATGTACAATCACTCGTAAAGAAAACAAAAAGGTTATGGTAGATTTAAAAAGAAATGTGTAGTAAATAAACAAATACTTTGAGGAACAATAACAGTGGTGGGTTACTGCTGAGAGTACTTTCATATTTGTTTAAAAAAAGCCTTGGTATTTTCATAATTATGTAGTTTTTATCAAACAAAGAGGAGGTAATAGTACATCTGTTGGGGACTATTTTCTGCGGCGGATTACTCCACATGAGCATATTAACATTTGGTCAGGTGGCAAAAATACTACAGTTTTACTTGTGTTAAATACACAAACACATACAAATAAATAAACAAACCATGTGTGTTCAGTTTGGCTCGTTGATGTGTTTTTGATATTTTCTCCTGGACAACGACGACTTATCAGAATATACTTTAACTGAATATTATAGAGTCTCTTTATCCCTACAGAGCTCTGGCTTTCTGCCGCTCTCTGAACTTTCTCACGGCTGCATTCCTTCAACCTGTCAGAACGCACCCCTCCTTTTACACGGGCCGCATTCCAAACTGCATTTCAACGCAACAACAATCACTGAACAACAAAAACCTGATTTACTGTGTGACGGACTTCAAAAGCAGGGAAACACCTCTGTGTGTGTGTGTGTGTGTGTGTGTGTGTGTGTGTGTGTGTGTGTGTGTGTGTGTGTGTGTGTGTGTGTGTGTGTGTACAATCACTCGTAACGAAAACAACAAAAACCTGATTTCCTGTATGACAGACTTCAAAAGCAGGGAAACACCTCTGTGTGTGTGTGTGTGTGTGTGTGTGTGTGTGTGTGTGTGTGTGTGTGTGTGTGTGTACAATCACTCAAAGAAAACAACAAAAACCTGATTTACTGTATGACGGACTTCAAAAGCAGGGAAACACCTCTGTGTGTGTGTGTGTGTGTGTGTGTGTGTGTGTGTGTGTGTGTGTGTGTGTGTGTATGTACAATCACTCGTACAGAAAACAACAAAAACCTGATTTACTGTATGACGGACTTCAAAAGCAGGGAAACACCTCTGTGTGTGTGTGTGTGTGTGTGTGTGTGTGTGTGTGTGTGTGTATCTTGAGACATGAAATATACAATATATAATTTTTTTAAATATGCTTATACATCAAGTTTTTATTGTTTTTGCCAACAAATTTGAGGTCTTTGACCAAAAAAAAATACAATTCTTTTTTGTAATTGTATTATTATTATATGTAGTTTTAATAGTTTGCTATCAGTCCTGAATCCATATCATTTTTTGTTTATTTACTCTTGTGTTCTCTATAACAAAATTATATTATTAATAACTCACCTGTACCTTATCTGTATATATTAATACTGATAAAGTTGTAAACATATATATGAAAGTAAATATGACACTTCAACTGCCTCAGATCTCATCGCACTACTAATATTGAAAATGACACGTATTGATGTTTTAGGCTTTTGCTAATTGACTTTTCAATGAAACTGTTTAAAAAACTACAAAAACTCTTGTCATGACAACGAGACTCCAGCAGACAGCAGCCTGTTCCTGCTGAGGTCCGAGATAAAAGCATGCAGAGAGAGAGAGAGGGACAGCAGGGACTTTCCCAACCAAGACACACACATACACACACACACACTGAAGAGTCAGTCAGGGTGTGTGTGATAGCAGCAGATAGCAGTTTCTCCATGACGCCGCTTCCAGACGACAGTGGCATGTGACTCTGCTTCATCACACACACACACACACACACACACACACACACACACACACACACACACACACACACACACACACACACACACACACACACACACACACACACACACACACACACACACACACACACACACACACACACACACACACACACACACACACACACACACACACACACACACACACACACACACACACACACACACACACACACAAGTAAAGAAATCAACAAAAACCTGATTTACTGTATGACGGACTTCAAAAGCAGGGAAACACCTGTGTATGTGTGTGTGTGTGTGTGTGTGTGTGTGTGTGTGTGTGTGTATGTGTGTGTGTGTGTGTGTGTGTGTGTGTGTGTGTGTTGTACCTAGTCATGTGTTATCAGGAACTCTTAGAAACAACGTTCTCATGCATTTCAGTGTGTTCATGTCCACTTGAGACACGTTCATAGACCCCAGAGGCATTCCTGTTTGAATGTTTGAGGGGAGAAATTATAAATTGTGGAAAAATATATTGTGACACAAAAATGTGACAAAATGCAGCCGTTTAAATCAATCTAAAAGGGCCGGGTTCCTTAGTCACGTCTTGTGGTTTCTGGCGAGGCTGATTGTTTGAATTACATTCTGATTTGAATAGGAACAACTTTGCTGTCTTATGTTAAAGGGGCCCTATTCTGCTTTCTGGAGTGTTCCCTCTCCTGTAGTGTGTTATATATGTTTTAGTGCATGTAAATGGTCTGCAGAGGCTAAAATCCCTGTGTTCCCTTCAGAGGGAGTTTCTAAAAAAAACAAAATAATTAAATTAAACAAATTAACAACTAAAAAGAGAGAAAAAGTAAGTTTTCACTTTAACTTTGCATAATACAGTGTGTGTGTGTGTGTGTGTGTGTGTGTGTGTGTGTGTGTGTGTGTGTGTGTGTGTGTGTGTGTGTGTGTGATGTCTCGTATTACGAGAGGACGGGCGTGGGAATGTGAGGAATGCCGGGTGACGTCAATGGTGACATTCCCGGATCCCCGAGTCCCCGAACAACAGCTGAGAACGACAGATCAACAGAGGAAGAGGAGGAGGAAGAGGAGGAGGAGGAAGAGGAGGAAGAGGAGGAGAGGGAAGCCGATGGAAGGAGGAAGATCGAGAAATACATGAAATGGAAAAAGATGAAGGTGAGGAAGGAGAAAGATGGAGGAGAGGAAGAGTTATGGATGGAAAAGGCTGTAGAAGAAAGAAAGGGAACAAGAGGAAAATGAGAGGGAGGACAGGGGAGGAGGAAGAAGAGGGGAGTAAAGGAAGCAAGTAAGGATGGAGGGAAGAGACGAGACAGCTGGAGGAGAGGAAAGGAAATGATGTAGAGAAAAGAAAGAGAACAGAAGAAATGGAGTAGGAGTTGACTAAGGGGATGAGGAAAGGAGACAGGAGGTGAACTCTTTTGGAAACGCTTTTTTAAATTAAATTCATATATTTGACAGATTAGCAGCTTCTTAAATATTGTATATATGTTAACTTGTCTTTGGCTCTGATACAGAGCGGGACAGCTCATATCACATCTATTGATTTCCTCTGAGACACCCGGAGACAACACGTCTACCAAGAGGAGAGAAGAGGATTCAAATACGTGCTATTATGTGTCTTATTACTGCAGTGTGTGTACTATTACTACAGAATATGTACTATTACTACAGAATGTGTCCTATTATGTGACCTATTACTACAGTATATGTACTATTACTACAGAATATGTACTATTACTGCAGTATGTGTCCTATTATGTGACCTATTACTACAGTATATGTACTATTACTACAGAATATGTACTATTACTACAGTATGTGTCCTATTATGTGACCTATTACTGCAGTGTGTGTACTATTACTACAGTATCTGTCCTATTATGTGTCTTATTACTGCAGTGTGTGTACTATTACTACAGTATATGTACTATTACTGCAGTATGTGTCCTATTATGTGACCTATTACTACAGTATATGTACTATTACTACAGAATATGTACTATTACTACAGTATATGTACTATTACTACAGAATGTGTCCTATATCTTTCTTATTACTGCAGTATCTGTGCTAATGGGATTTAATGGGGAGATCTGGTCAATGTCACCTCTGAGGAGAGGAGCCAAGACAAGGGACAGGGACAGGGGGATTACTCCAGAGAGACGAGGGGGAACAGCTGATGGAGACAGGAGGAGAGGGGAGGGGGGGGGGGGGAAGCTGCAGAGAAACTCTCACATTACTTACACTTGTAGTTTTTGTTTGGATTATTGAACTGAATATTCTTCATCTTAAAACTCACCTTTTTGCACTGGCTTTTAACACTAGTTGAACATAACACTTTATATTAAAGGGGACCTATCATGCAGAATGCTCTTTTGTACGTCTTTTATACATGAATATGTGTCCCCGGTGTTCCAGGGAACTCACCAAGTGTCAGAAAACACAACCCTCTCTATTTTCCTCCATACCCAAATCTCTAAGAAAGGGGCTGCAACGGATCTGATAAAAACTGATCCAGATTTGAACACTGTCCTGACGTCAGGACGGTGGCGCTACGGCTATTGGGCCAACTCTCCACCTATCAGGGGAATGTGGGGTTGGGCCACGGCCGGCCATTGCCGCTCGAAAGCGCTGGAGACGCTGTAGTACATATGCCAGGCCTGTAAGTGGCGCTGTAGTCTGCCACAAAAGCAGCGAAGAAGACTTCCCGCCAATAGTTACCATGGTTACCCTTCTGTTTATTCTCCGCTGTGGCTCTTTTTCTTTCCCTCCCCGAGGCAAGCGTTTGCTCCCGCTGCTTTAATTCAATGCAATCCCTCCCCGTCGAGGCAAGCACTGTAATTCTCTCCGGTTAGTCCACCAGCAGATGACAAACACCCACCTCTCCGCCTCTTCCAAGGAACGAGGGGACCGTGCGGCAGAGTTTCAGTTTCAGTTTCTTTCGCCGGTCAAGATGTCTGTTAAAGTTTAAATCTTCCGGACAAAATAAGAAAAGTGCCGGTCAAAGGTCTTCTTTGTTATTTATTGAGCTTTAAAACAAATGAATAACGACTCTATATAATAAAACACGGAGGACGGAGATCTCTTTTTCTCCCCCTCTTCTGACAGCCCAGCAGCTGATCAGAGCACGGCTCCCCTCTCCTGCAGGGGGGGCGTGGTCAGCAGAATCAGACCCGTAGACAGCAAACAGCACATAGAGCGAAATGAGGCATGGCTAAAATGCATGATCTGTTTGGTATTTTGAAAACAGAAACGTATAAATATACCTTATATAGGTATGGCCCTACAATATATTATTCAAATATAGCATGATAGGTCCACTTTAAGGTACACATGTTCACCATCAACTAGTTGTTAATTAACATGCATATTAGCAGTATATTGGCTCTTTATTAGTCATTATAAAACACTTATTAATGCCTTATTCTACATGACCATATTCTATAATAATAGGCCATTAGTTGAGAGTTTTTCCTCAATAACCCTCTAATTAGTGCTTATTTATTGCAAGTAAGGAAGTTCTTGTACATGAGTTTTGGTCTTAATATGCTCTGCTCAATATGGGCCTAATAAGGCAGTAATACCACAAGAATAGTAATTCTCCCATAATAACACTTAACAAATATGATCTATTCTTATGTAACAAGACATTAAACTATAAGTGTTAATTGTGTCATAATAACTTAAAATGTGGTATTTTCTAACTCAGAATATGTTCACTAATAAGATGCTCTAATATGCATGTTAATTAACAACTAGTTGACGTGCATATGTGTACCTTAATTAAGGTGTTACCGTGTTTTTATATGTTTCTTGTTATTGTGCTTTTTATCTTGTTTTAATTATTGTTTTATTATTTTACTCCTATTGTGTTATTCTATATTGTATTTGTTCCCCGTACAGCACTTTGGTCAACTGAGGTTGTTTTAAATGTGCTATATAAATAAATAAAGATTGATATTGAGATTAGAGTCAAAGTAAAATGTGGAACTAGAGTCGTCTTAAAAGAAAAATGACAGCAGGCGCCTCGTTGAGTGGAGGAGAGTGTTGGCGCTCTGCTGATCTCTCTCTCAGATATTGGTTGTCCTGCACCAGCTGGCAGACACGCAGCAGGTCAGGAATATTATCACGCTTTTTAAGATTCTCCTCTCTTGGTTTCTGAGTCTGGAAGCTTCCCCAGAGCCGCTGTGGAGCTCCAGAAAGAGTCTCAACTTCCTCCTGTTTCCCTTCAACAACATGAAGCTGTTTCTCTGGACTGACCCTCAGCTGTCGCCACTCAACAAGTGTGTGTGTGTGTGTGTGTGTGTGTGTGTGTGTGTGTGTGTGTGTGTGTGTGTGTGTGTGTGTGTGTGTGTGTGTGTGTGTTGTGCACACGTGACCGCCTGTTGCTACACATAAACTATTCTGTCTGCAGACTTAAGTAGAACTCGTAGGCAACATTAGGGTAGGTGACAAACTGAGGGGTGTGTGTGTGTGTGTGTGTGTGTGTGTGTGTGTGTGTGTGTGTGTGTGTGTGTGTGTGTGTGTGTGTGTGTGTGTGTGTGTGTGTGTGTGTGTGTGTGTGTGAAAGTGTACTTACGGACAGGACTCGGGCACGCTCCATTTGAATTCCCCATATCTCCTAACAGGGCACCTGAAAGAAAAACACACCACGAACATTAAATATATATATATTTGTTTATTATTCAACTAATATTTAATATTGATATAACTAAATAAGCTGAAGTGGAAAGGCAGACAAACACAGCTTATATTAAAAATGACAGCTCTCCTCAGTTGTTGTTTTTCGATGAGGGAGTAGGTTTAAAAATGTATACAATAAATACTAAATAAAAGAAAATGTGTTACAAAATGATGAATAAGGTAATAATAATAAAAAAGTCATGTGCATTGTTGAAATAATAATAATAAAGATACCAAAATATATATAAAAAATGAATTATAATACAAATATATATACACATATAGATCATTATACCAATAGTTTTAAAAATCAATTGAAGACCATGAAAATGTGTTTTATATTCTAGAAATACATATTATTGGTAAACTGGTTTCAGAATATATATATAAGATATTTAAATAAATAACAATAATATTAATTTCAAAATCAGTGATTACTTTTGTGAAAAGTTTTGTGAAGCCGCCATCTTATTTGCTCGCATTAGCATTAGCATTAGCATTAGCCCAGCGCACCAACGGAGAGAGACTAACTTATGGCAACACAAAAAAAAACATGGGAGCGGTGGAGTGATGAGGAGGTGTCGGCGTTCTGGCGATTTACTCGGAGTCCCAACTCCGGGGGACTCCGGGACTTCGGGTGGCAGTATACGCCGTGAAGTTGTTTGCGGCCTGCCAGTAAACCCAAAGCAGAAGAAGAAGAAGTGATGTCAGCGGCTTAATTTGCCTAATCCTCCCTCAGGGACTTATTCCGGTGTGAACGCGATCTACTCTTTAGTTCCAGGAACTAAATAGTTCGGGGGAACTAAGTACCGGGAACTAAGTACCGGGAACTAAGTACCGGGAACTAAGTACCGCCAAGTACTTGGTGTGAAAGCGCCTTATGAGTCATATGGAAAATGTTGTGCATCACCACATTTTAATAGATCAGGTTTCTTTTACAACACCATTATTTCATTGAATATAAAACAGTTATTCTGAACAGCACTGATACTAAATGCTGCAAATCCCATTTTGAAAAAAATATAATTGAAACAAGTGTATCATTTAAAAAGTGCTTCTGCTATCGACTCTCACTTCAGGGTGTGAAGGACGTTAATGGATACAAATTCTGCATCACAGTTAATTCATAAGTGGCGTGCTCAATGGTACTCGTGTCGAATTACACAAGAAATGATTGCACTCATTCTAAAAATTGAGTATAAAAGGTTAATTAAGCACCAAACAGAACAGGAATGTGTGAAATGCAAGGTTTTTATTGGCAGTAACGGTAAGATAACTGCCAATTATCACACTGTGTGGCTTTGTTGAGAAGTTATCATCAAAATAAGTAGAATTATAATTACAGCTTTCAGCTTTTTCTCTATTACGATTTTAATTGTTGTGTTGAAACTAAGGCTAGGTGTTGTTTGAAATATTCAGATTTAGTGGTGGTAAGATGTCTGATAGATTAATGGCAAAAAATATCAGTTTTTGTTGTACAAATATGAAAGCAGTACCTATAGGCGCTTTCACACCGGAGTACTTTTCCCCGTACTTTTCCCCTTTAGTTCCGATATTGCCTGGAATTTTGTGTTCACACCAAAAAGAGAACTTAGTTCATGAGAACTTTTACCCCAATTTTTAGTCCCTGCTAGAGAGGTGGGACTATCCTGGGGAGAAAAAAGTACCAATTTGTGATTGGCTGGGCGGATTGCAAACCACGCCCCGTAAAACTCGGAAAACTTTTGTGAAACCGCCATTGTATTTGCTGGCATTAGCATTATTAGCATTAGCATTAGCCCCGCGTGCCAACGGAGAGAGAATAACTTATGGCAACACAAAAAAACAACATGGGAGCGGTGGAGTGATGAGGAGGTGTCGGCGTTCTGGCGATTTACTCGGAAGGCTTCAGTAGAAGCTGCTGGGAGTCCCAGCAGCTTCTACTGAAGCCAGTCCCCAACTCCGGGGACTTCCGGCCGGGGACTTCGGGTGGCAGTATACGCCGTGAAGTTGTTTGCGGCCTGCCAGTAAACCCAAAGCAGAAGAAGAAGAAGTGACGTCAGCGGCTTCATTTGCGTAATCTTCCCTCAGGGAACTTATTCCGGTGTGAACGCGATCTGCTCTTTAGTTCCATGGGGGTACTAAGTGCTGGCACTAAGTGCTGGGAACTAATGGCGCGTTTCCACTACACGGCCTCGCTCGGTATGGCTAGGCCTCGTTAGGACTGGCTCACTTTATGGCGCATTTCCATTACAGTTTAGGAACTGGGGTAGTATCTATAGTAACGCAGTGTAGGCGGAGCCGTGGCGTCATCTTCAATGAGAACCCCAGAAAAACAACACAGCCGTTAGCTGTTAGCACTCAGAGCTCACAGCTCCTCATATCTGTTCAGAAACTAGACAAAAGTTAAACAAGTACAAACCACAGACTGTCTGTGTCATGGCGAATACAGTCGCTGCTTTATTTATGTCTGTATAGGCCGTTGTTGTGAGTGTGGACGGTCGGAGCATATACTGCGTTAGCTTAGCCAATCTCCATTTAGAAAACACGCATTTTAAAAGGTTTTTCCCCTGCCGTCTGTCTGCAGACTTGTCAAAGCATTAATTCATGGTTTTTACTAACCGGTATCAGTATGTTGTTACTTCGGCATCATTTTGAAACGTGTATTACAATTAAATCACGGTCAAATATGTCCATCTTGTTGTAGTTGTAGCCCCCTTGCCAGCGATTCTCTCTCTAGTTTAGCATACTCAGCCCGACTCAGCCTCGTTGTCTCTGGCCCTAGACCCACGATTTTATGAGGCCAGAAAAACTGTGAATTAGGACCCGCCGGCCGGTACTAGGCCAAGTGGAAACGCAACCAAAAACGGGCCGCTGACGTCACAGCCCTCTTAAACCGTGCTCCGCGCTGTAGTGGAAACGCGCCATAAGTGCTGAGAACTAAGTGCTGGGCACTAAGTACGGCAAAGTACTTGGTGTGAAAGCGGCTTATGTTTATGTCAAATATCAACTATTAAATGATGATAGCGTCGTAGTTGCATTAACACTGCAAATTAGCAAATTAGCTAACCCGCTACATTTACAGTGACATTTTTTATAGCTGTATTTATCAATATTTTATTATAATAACAGTGGATTAAATGACTGTAATGTGAAAGGGGTTAAAGGCACTGGATTATCAATAAAGTGCTTTGCTTCAGGTAGACTTTATATAGTATTTTAGCGTCTTTCAGCACATTGTTTTGGTTTCCCTAAAACAAATGTTTGCACTACATGTGGTGTTTACAGCTGTCCCCAAATATCCAAAAAATACATTTAAAAAATCAATTATTGCTACCATAACATGTCAAAGTAGAGTAATGTACTTTAACCTTTTAGAGCAAACACACATTTCTACACAGCTCAATGTGTTTCAGTACTTTTATCTTCATGTCCTTGCACTATTTCTATTCTATTTTATTTCTATTACTTGCACTATTTTAACTATTTTGTCTGTGTTATTGTGTTGCACTGTTGGAGGAGCCTGTGACCTAAGATTTTCATTGACATATCTACAGTACACTGTAGCTATGTACAAATGACAATAAAAGCCTTGAAATCTTGAAATCTTGAAGTGGAGGTCATGAGGGTTAACTGAGTGATATCTGGCTGGATGGATATGTGGAAAAGCTCCAATAAGCAAACACCATGAACCCTACTCGGTGTAAAGTGGGATTCATATCAGGGCGCCAGAGATGGCAAAGTACACATATTCTTTACTCAAGTAGAAGTACAGATACTTGTGTTTACTCTGGTGAAAGTAGAAGTACTGACTAAACTTCTTTACTCAAGTAAAAGTAAAGAAGTATGGGCTTTGAAATATCCTTAAGTAAAAAAGTACCCATAACTAGCAGCTGTTTTAAAGAGTATCTGACCTCCCTTTATATTAATAGAACAATAATGTCATTGTTAGCTAATGAATGTTTCCATGCTGAACAACGGCAACATGACAACGTTTTCATTGGTCCCTCTTCTTTAGAGAAGACCAGGAAATGATGGATACACGGATCGTGTTCAAATCAATAGGCACGCAATGACTCTAAATAATAATGATCACGCCACCAGACACACATTCAAACTAAAGGAACCAGCCTGTTTGGAAAATGTAAGAAGTAGAAAGTACAGGTATTTGTGTTCAACATGTAAGAAGTAGAAAGTACAGGTATTTGTGTTCAACATGTAAGAAGTAGAAAGTACAGGTATTTGAGTTCAACATGTAAGAAGTAGAAAGTACAGGTATTTGTGTTCAACATGTAAGAAATAGAAAGTACAGGTATTTGTGTTCAACATGTAAGAAGTAGAAAGTACAGGTATTTGTGTTCAACATGTAAGAAGCAGAAAGTACAGGTATTTGTGTTCAACATGTAAGAAGCAGAAAGTAAAAAGTCGTCAGAAAAATAAGTAGTGGAGTAAAGTACCGATACCAGAAACATGTACTTAAGTACAGTAACAAAGTATTTGTACTCCACTACTTCCCACCTTTGCAGGGCGCAGATGAGGAAGAGGAGGAAGAGGAAGAGGAGGGAGAGAGGGGCGTCCATTACGAGGAACCCTCCTGCCTCGGAGACAGCATGTTATGAAAGATGCTGTAATGCATTTGAGGCGCGTTACATCACCTAATTCTGACTCACAATGAGATTACGCCGGTCGGAACAAAGCCTGATAAGTAACCTCGTCTGAGACGCAGAAATGGGGCACAAATCCTTTTAGTCAGAGGGGGAGGGATCGCTGGGAAACACGGAGGCAGCCGTCGAGGAAATGATGGATTTCTGTGTTTATGAAGGTGGTGTGCACTTATCAGACTGACAGGTAATAGAGAGGGGTGACTGGACATCGACACACGCACGCACGCACGCACACACACACACACACACACACACTTCTATGGGCATTTTGAGGCTTTTTGACTCAAAAAACTCTCTTGTTGCAAACAGAGGGAAATAGGTATTTAATGAAAGAGGGATTACAATATCTAAACAGTAATGCAGTGATGTCCCATTTCTGTGTTGGATCCTGAAGGCCACATCTCCCTGGTTCCCTCCACAAAAAAGAATTACGATTAAAAGTAAAAAGCTAATGTTGGGCTATAAAGGAACTACAGCACGGTCACATGACTTCATGTCACCAACGCTAAGCTAAAGGCGGCTAACGTTAGGCTATAAAGGAACTACAGCACGGTCACATGACTTCATGTCACAACCGCTAAGCTAAAGGCGGCTAATGTTGGGCTATAAAAGAACTACAGCACGGTCACATGACTTCACGTCACCACCGCTAAGCTAAAGGAGGCTAATGTTGGGCTATAAAGGAACTACAGCACGGTCACATGACTTCACGTCACCACCGCTAAGCTAAAGGCGGCTAACGTTGGGCTATAAAGGAACTACAGGACGGTCACATGACTTCACGTCACCACCGCTAAGCTAAAGGTGGCTAATGTTGGGCTATAAAAGAACTACAGCACGGTCACATGACTTCACGTCACCACCGCTAAGCTAAAGGCGGCTAACGTTGGGCTATAAAGGAACTACAGCACGGTCACATGACTTCACGTCACCACCGCTAAGCTAAAGGAGGCTAATGTTGGGCTATAAAGGAACTACAGCACGGTCACATGACTTCACGTCACCACCGCTAAGCTAAAGGCGGCTAACGTTGGGCTATAAAGGAACTACAGGACGGTCACATGACTTCACGTCACCACCGCTAAGCTAAAGGCGGCTAACGTTGGGCTATAAAGGAACTACAGCACGGTCACATGACTTCACGTCACCACCGCTAAGCTAAAGGCGGCTAACGTTGGGCTATAAAGGAACTACAGGACGGTCACATGACTTCACGTCACCACCGCTAAGCTAAAGGCGGCTAACGTTGGGCTATAAAGGAACTACAGGACGGTCACATGACTTCACGTCACCACCGCTAAGCTAAAGGCGGTTAACGTTGGGCTATAAAGGAACTACAGCACGGTCACATGACTTCACGTCACCACCGCTAAGCTAAAGGCGGCTAATGTTGGGCTATAAAGGAACTACAGCACGGTCACATGACTTCACGTCACCACTGCTAAGCTAAAGGCGTCTAATGAGAAGCGTGATGACGTTACATATTGTACCAATTTTCAGGTTCATATTAGTATTTATATTTTATATAGAAACGTGAGTGTTACAAAGTGATGTCACTAAGTTCAGGATGTAAACAAAGGAGTCCAATGGAGGCCTGAAAAAAGCAGAATATGGCCTCTTTAAGGTAACATTCATCTTAGTAATAGGGAACAAAGTATTATGGTAATCTCTTTTAAATATACCAGAGCTACCAACACTGCTTTCAAAGCAAGACTATGGTGTTAAGACGGGCTTGAAATGCTTTCCTTTAAACCATTAAAAGGAATCAGAGTTTATTCAGTGTTTGAAAAATGTCTCCACTTTTTCTGCACTGCAACAACACCTGTCAATCAAACAGTGTGGGCGTCGCTGTGAAGTCTGTTTTCTTTTGTAGAAGTTTTTTGTTAAAGAGTCTTCTTTCTCTCTTCTTCAATGTACGTCAAACTGCTGCTGCTGCTTTCAGAAAGTCATCGTCTTCTGAGGAGTTTTTCTTTTTTAAAGAGAGAGCTACCAAATTGAACCTTCACTATTTTACGTGGCTGTATGTGCATTTACTTACTATTAAATAAATGTTTCTGATATTTAAAAATATATATATTTATATTGTTTATTATTGTTTGTTAGCTTTTATATTCTGTAATTTCTAGGGTGATATTTCTGCTTTTTATTATATTATATCCTTTTTTTTATCAATTAGTTTTACTGTTGTTTTGTTTTATAGGCTGTTTTTGTTTTTCACACTTCTTTATTTTTTTAATTTTGCACTGAATGGATTATAAAGCCCAAAACATATTGGATCAATGGGCTTGAAACTGGACATTGCTTATAAATATAAATATTATGATAAAAATGTTTCAAAATGCATAAAAGAATAAATAAAAAATAAAAACGTTGTGGTACTGCAAATAAAGACTCCTGAAATAATTGCATTATGCCACAAAATGATCGACACCACGGGTGTCTCTTACCTGCGCTGGCTGGTCGCTGCGGTAACCCTGGCGACACGGTGTTCCTATGCAGAGTTGGTTGCTGTGGCGACAGGAGGCGGGGGTCTGTGAGGGCGGAGGTGAGGAAGGAGGTTGTGGTGACCAATGCGCCGCCAGGGTTGTTGCTGAACTGCAGCGCTGCGTTCTGATTGGACACGGGCACGGTGACGGGCATGGAGAAGGTGGGCTGAGGGACTGCTGACTGGAGGAGAGACAGGAAGGAGGAGGGGCTTAGAGTGATGTCACACACGTGTATATATATATATATAAACACACACATGCTTTTATCATGTACAGGTGATCAGTTAGTGATCAACACGCAGTCAACAATCACAACAAGAGTGTTTCCAAAACAGACCAGATTTACACGATTATATTCAGCTAAAGGACAACTAGATTTAGACTTTCTTAAATCTGTGTTTTTAATTTTTACTTTTATGTATGCACCACGACATCAAGTCAAATTCCTCGTACATGTAAACCCACCTGGTGATAAACCTGATTCTGATTCTGACACCAATTACTTTGTCATTTTACAATGTAACACCTGAACCTGAAGGTCATTTAGAAAACTTCCAAGGGCGAAGACTTTTACATTTGAACTTTTTAACATTAATTAAGGTCCATTTTTTTATATAAGTAAATACAATTGTTATTATTTAAAATGTGTTAACTAAAAGGGTTTTGGAAATTAACTCTTCAAGCAAACACACATCAAATCTCTCCATCACACACACACACACACACTCAGTTTTATCATGCAAGGTGACTTTGTGGGCCAGAAAGCGGTGTCGCCTCTCATGCCGGGTTAAAGTCTTTAAAGTCGCAGCAGCGGGTTATTGCTTCAGCGTCGGGTTATTGTTGAAATCCCACCGACCCCCCCACTGCTCATCACCTTCAGGAATAAATACCCTGATGTGTGAGATCTCCATGATAAATACCTAAATATCTTCTGCTACCAACACCTAAAATATCCCAAGAGGAAACAACTTTTTCTTTCTTTTTCGTTGTGAGCCTGAAATACAGTCTGTGGGTAACACAAGCTGAAGAGATTTTTGTTCTACGACATTAAATACGTCAGTAAATCCCCAACTGGTGAATTTAAAAATGGCGGTTGCTAACAAGTGTCTAAATCACGCCCAACATTAGCCGCCTTTAGCTTAGCGGTGGTGACGTGAAGTCATGTGACCGTGCTGTAGTTCCTTTATAGCCCAACATTAGCCTCCTTTAGCTTAGCGGTGGTGACGTGAAGTCATGTGACCGTGCTGTAGTTCCTTTATAGCCCAACGTTAGCCTCCTTTAGCTTAGCGGTGGTGACGTGAAGTCATGTGACCGTGCTGTAGTTCCTTTATAGCCCAACATTAGCCTCCTTTAGCTTAGCGGTGGTGACGTGAAGTCATGTGACCGTGCTGTAGTTCCTTTATAGCCCAACGTTAGCCTCCTTTAGCTTAGCGGTGGTGACGTGAAGTCATGTGACCGTGCTGTAGTTCCTTTATAGCCCAACGTTAGCCGCCTTTAGCTTAGCGGTGGTGACGTGAAGTCATGTGACCGTGATGTAGTTCCTTTATAGCCCAACGTTAGCCGCCTTTAACTTAGCGGTGGTGACGTGAAGTCATGTGACCGTGCTGTAGTTCCTTTATAGCCTAACGTTAGCTTTTTACTTCGGAAATCATAAAGTGGTGTTAATATGTGGAGATTATCGTGCTGAACTAAACATGTAAGAATCATAAACGTGTGTTTGACACAGAGATTATTTTGTGCAAGAAATCCAATTGGCTTTTTATCGAGGGAACCAGGGAGATGCTAACTTCCGTGTTTGCCTACAAAAACATGAAATCACTGCACCACTCTTTTTGTAGTCTCGCTAACATTTAGAATAACTGTGCAGCCATAGAACCAACATCCGGGGGTCCTGGACAAAATCAAGAGCGAGGATCTGGAGTTGTCCCGCCATCCGACCCATTTCACCCTGTTCTAACTGGATGTGTGAAAGCAGGTCTTCTATATTTAGAATATGGGCCGCTGTACTCAAAGAGCCCGAGACCCAGTTTAACTGAGAGGAGGACGAGGGCACCTTCCTGCCCTTCATCTCTGCCTCTCGTCCTTCATCTGGGCTGTGTAACTTTTTTTAGAAAGAGGGAGACGAGAAACGATGTAAAAAAATGAAAAGGGGGTAAAAAATGTGTCTGATTAAAGCTGACGGAGAAGCTATCGGTTTTTGATTAAATAATTACAAATAAAAATAAATATTGTCTATGAAAAATTGTTATATAAAATAATTCCGAAAATGATTACAAATGATGGGGACATTTACAAAAAAGTTACAAAAATGTGTTAAGATGTATACAATTAAAATCTGCCACATTTTTTTTAATTTAATCTTCATATTTCAGAGGGAGTTTGTAAATGAGAGTGTACAGACGGAGCTGTACAGTAAGTAGGTTGGGGGGGGGGGGAGCTCACAGCAGCACTGCACACTGGCCAAGCAGGAAGTGAGAGGGGGGGGGGGGTAATGGAGGTATGGATGAGGGGGTGAGGGGGGCGGAGGTGTGTAAACAAACGGCACTGGAGAAGATTTAACGTTGGGGTAGAGGAACGAATTTCAGGAACGGGATGATGGCATATCTAACCAGCAACCTTTGTGTAACGGCTCTGTTGTGATTGGTCAACCGCTTAGAGATGTCCCGCCCCTTAGCCTATCAGGAATTATACTCTGATTTAATGAAATACTTGATTCAATTTGTTAGGAAGTATAAAGAGGACATTTATTGATCATGTTCAGGTGTATATCAGTATTCAGTGTCTCTACGGTGACATGTCTCCATGCTTTAATGTTCAAAAAGCTCTTTATTTGTCTCTTTTCACCCTCTGTCTGAAACCAGAGTCCAGTCTGCTCTGATTGGTTAGCTGGCCGGCTCTGTTGTGATTGGTCGCTTAGAGATGTACAATGTGTACAATAGGAGCGTGAGTGTTACATAGTGGTGTCACTATGTTTGGAAAGTAAACAAAGGAGTCCAATGGAAGCGTTTTAGGCAGGTGTGTGCGAGAGTATAAATGAATGAAGTTGCAATGAACTCATGGATTTTGTGAGGTTTACTTTATAATTTAATTTAATTTAATTTAATATAATTTACATTTAACAATTACCCACATGTTACACATGTTGGATTTTCTTGGGACCAATTCCAACATTTTTGGAAAACAAATGCCTGTTTATAGAAAAAAGGGTAATTATTAATATAAAAGTAATTATTCAAATGTGACAACTTTATAATTAAGGGCAAAAATAATTAACAATAATTGCCATATCTGTCAAACGTTAAAAAAAAGAAAAATACAAAAAAAGAATTACCTTAAAAATCGTAGAGCGTTTGGAGGAATTTTTATTTTTATTTATTTTATAAATATGTTGAGTTTGCATCATCAGTCTCTCCTCAACCAACTTATTTTTGTGATTTTTAAAATATATATTACATATTATTTTAACCTTGGATGGTTTCATGGAAATTAGTGATTTATAAAGAACTTTTTGAAGGCTCCTGAGGATTTATAATGAAGCTTGTTTTGGAGAAGACACTTAGTATTGTGCTAACCTTCTGTTATCTCCTTCAGACACCTCACTTTCTCTCATACATTCAGTGGTAAGTGCCATCATTTGTTCCTCGGCCTCTTCTCCACAGGACCTCCACAGCCTCTAGTTGCTAGGCGATTGATGACATAACCACCAAAAAAAAACCTCTCCACTTCTTCTTCTTCTTCTTCTTCTCCTAATATGAATTTTAAATGTGTCCTCACCGTCACCCCGCTCTGCTCTCTGCTCCGCTGAGCATTAATCCGTGTTCCCGACAAATTACTAGAGAATTTGCATCTACCCACTCCAGCTTAATTTAACGGTGACGCTCCTAATGACAGAGCGGAGGGTTAATTGGGCACAGAGGCTGAGAGCCTAACGAAATAAATAATAAATACATAAAAAAACAGGTATACTGTCTACTACAACTACGAGAGCCTCTCCAAAACTGACCGCATTTAGACAATCATAAACGGCTTATAAGTAGTCAGATTGAAGTATTTTAAGGCTTTTTAATTTGATCTTTTCCATTATGCAAGAGGCATTTAGTACTTATTTATTAGATTAAGGCAGTTTGGTGCAATTAAAATAAGGGAATTATACTCTGATTAAATGAAATACTTGAAACAATTTGATTTAATTTGTTAGTAAGTTTAAATAGAGCATAATTTGCTAATTTTCAGGTTCATATCAGTATGTAGTGTCTCTACTTTAAAGAGTCCTCTCCTGCTGATGTTCAGGTGTATATCAGTATGTAGTGTCTCTACTTTAAAGAGTCCTCTCCTGCTGATGTTCAGGTGTATATCAGTATGTAGTGTCTCTTCTCTACTTTAAAGAGTCCTCTCCTGCTGATGTTCAGGTGTATATCAGTATGTAGTGTCTCTACTTTAAAGAGTCCTCTCTGCTGATGTTCAGGTTTATATCAGTATGTAGTGTCTCTACTTTAAAGAGTCCTCTCCTGCTGATGTTCAGGTGTATATCAGTATGTAGTGTCTCTACTTTAAAGAGTCCTCTCCTGCTGATGTTCAGGTTTATATCAGTATGTAGTGTCTCTACTTTAAAGAGTCCTCTCCTGTTGATGTTCAGGTGTATATCAGTATGTAGTGTCTCTACTTTAAAGAGTCCTCTCCTGCTGATGTTCAGGTTTATATCAGTATGTAGTGTCTCTACTTTAAAGAGTCCTCTCCTGCTGATGTTCAGGTGTATATCAGTATGTAGTGTCTCTACTTTAAAGAGTCCTCTCCTGCTGATGTTCAGGTGTATATCAGTATGTAGTGTCTCTACTTTAAAGAGTCCTCTCCTGCTGACGTTCAGGTGTATATCAGTATGTAGAGTCTCTACTTTAAAGAGTCCTCTCCTGCTGATGTTCAGGTGTATATCAGTATGTAGTGTCTCTACTTTAAAGAGTCCTCTCCTGCTGATGTTCAGGTGTATATCAGTATGTAGTGTCTCTACTTTAAAGAGTCCTCTCCTGCTGATGTTCAGGTGTATATCAGTATGTAGAGTCTCTACTTTAAAGAGTCCTCTCCTGCTGATGTTCAGGTGTATATCAGTATGTAGAGTCTCTACTTTAAAGAGTCCTCTCCTGCTGATGTTCAGGTGTATATCAGTATGTAGTGACTCTACTTTTA